GGGCTGAGTGCCTGAGAAAACTTCGTAGCTTGAGATTATAGGTTTTTCTCAGTGTGCACCGCGTATCCCATCTGCTCCGGTTTCCCCCCCAAAAAGAACGTTAATTAAACATGCACGATAATGAATGGATTCATTTCATCCAACCCCCATGAAAATGATCATCGAACGGCCCGAACGGTGTTCGTTTCGTTCCGCTGGTGCCCACACCCGTCCAAGAATGCACCTCCCAGGGTTCCCAGCAGGTTGGAGGAAAAAGGAAGAACGCGAGGTTTCGGTTTCAGAGTAGATGGCACTTGCACTCGAAGATGTCTTTGATATGGGAGATCCATGGAGATCCATATCGTTGAACCAACAGAAACTTGGGGGATTGTACCATCTACTCTGAAACCACTTCCTAAAAATCCAGTCGTACCTTCTCAGGTACGGTGAGGAAGGAGACTATTTATGTAGGCGCCAAAACGGCCCAGTCGTACCTCCTGAGAAGGTGGTAGTGGATCCCTAGAACCTTAGGGTCTATGACTCGTCCTTCGACCCGACGTCCAGCTTTCAAGATTCGACCCGACCAAGGGACAGCTCAGTGATTGCAGAGTGTGATGCGGTGTACTTCCTTGCCGGATTCAAAGGTGTTCAGAACAAGCAAATTGAGGACGTAGCGAGTGACGGAGAGGTTTGACTTGGGGTCAGCACCCACGGCAGTTGCCAGCTGCAAAAAAGAACTGGTGGGTGGGTGTGGGGTGCATCTGTGATGTTCATCAATTGATATGCATGTCAAGGTGCAGCCTCCTGCAGCCTACTTGCCGATGGTGGGTCTCTTCCTACCTCTTCCTACGAATGGGGGAGACCACCAGGGCTGGAAGAAGAGCCTCTCATGAGCTATGTCAGCTCTGTACTCTTCCTCCCGTCCGGTCTCAGGTCTCGCTTTCCGGCGTCCACGGCTGAGGAGTGTGGCTATGTCGCAAAGGTGAAGTCCAAGCGATGTCCATCCGCGGTCAGTTTTAATGTTCCTCTCCTTGTGGGGCACATGCTGAGGGTTAAGAACCATACCCACGTCTAATTGATTAGTCAAAGCTAGAGCCCATACTTATGGCAAGAAGCCCTTCGAAATGTGTGTCTGGCTGATTGAGCGAGAAGCATCTCCGTAAACCCTAATCAAGCATCTTAGGTTCACACTGGACCTCTCCAAGGCTACATCTCATGAATCCGCGGCTAAATACAGTATCACAAGTTTTGCTCAAAAGCCTTAGGCTACTACACCCGCCAACTCATCCACCGTATACACATCCTTAAGACCCAGCGGCCGGAAGGCCAAGTTCATGGTCCGTCGCACACGGGCCTCAAACGGTCCACGCCGAGGCGAAGCTGAACAAAAACACGGACGGCGCACTGGGTCTGCTTGCGGAAGGAGAGTAGTCTTTTTTGCTGTATATTGATCGAAGCGATTGAAGATCTTTTTTGGATTCTAGCAGGAGGCTTGTTCGATCTGAAAAGCCTCCCAGTCACCAGCTGACATGAAATGTGTTGTTGGTAGTTACACCCAAACGGCTGAAGAAGCACAGCCCACGACGTGCTCCCATGCCATGGCGCTGTCTTCTTCCGGAAGAGCTCTTGCTGATCATCCCGCTTCGCACCGTGCGAGACGTACTGCAGGAGCTCCGTCCTCAAAGGGCTCGGGCGCCGAACGGAGCGAACGCCGACTCAGCGACGTACTGCTGGACGCTCGGTGGTGTTGGACCGGCGCCGAAAGGCTTTTTCTTTTTTTCCCGAATGCGTAGCGAAGGGTTCCCGTTTATAGTTGGGGGTCTGGGGGTTGGAGCTGTGTTTGCATGGCTTGTTCTCTAGGGCTTCCGGAGGGCATCATCTTTTCGTGTTTGTTTGTTTGGATGCGTCCCATGAAGATCCCCAGAGTGAATCGGACCATCGGGCACCCTGCTGCGCTTCAAGATGTGGTGTTCTTTTGTTCGTTTCGCGGGGTGTTCACTCAAGACTCCATGAATAAGAACCCTTAAGTCTGGACAGAAACACCAAAAAAAACAAAAACAACAAAACATGCTGCCCTTCCGCATTTCAGCTCCGGAAGTTGTGAAGGAGCCCAAACCATCTTCGCGTTGGACGCAGATTTGGAGGCAAGCATTGTCCAACTAGCAGGTGCTGACCAGGCCCTGCTCTCCTGCTGTGTGTTCTTGTTGGTGCCTCTGTTTGGGTATAGTCTAGGCTTAATGGGGGGGCCTGAGGAGTTTCAGTGTTCTGTGAATTTCATTGTCTGTTTCGACCTGGGTGCTAAAGAACTCCTCGCAAGCATCCTATAGGATCATAGTACAATTGGTGAACCTGCAAGTGTGCTGTCACTCTGACATGTGATCCTCCCATGAATGATAGATCCTATATGGTGTTTTCGTACACGCCTCCAAAATCCACATTTCATAGGACTGGGTGGGTGGTGATCAATCATTCTTCCCCAACAGTCCAAGTAAAAAGGAATAATGCAAACCAACCCTGGAGAAACGAATGGCTTTGCAACACCGAAAGAAGAAAAAGCCAACCTGACTGCAGCTGCAGTGGCAGCTCGACCAGCCCGCTGTTATCATGGTCGATGGCCTCGAAAAGCAGGTGCCTCAGGGGCTCAAACCGTTGAAACAACGCGACGAGCGACGTGACGTCGCAACGTGACCGTTGCTCGCCGCTCGCGACGCCAAACCATTCAGTCCACCAGGATGCACATCACCATCCGATGCGGCCCGTTTTGGAACCTGAAAACCACTGGATTTTAGAGGAAAGTGTATAGTCTTGTATAGTCTGGTCCATTTTTCATGGTTCGTTACAGTAACCTTCCCGGGTGTAATAGAGCTTGAGGTTTGAGTCTGTTGATGGCTGATTTGGGCAGGGTTGATTTATTGTAAGTCGTATTAATTAACATGTTGTCGTAATGTTGACAGCGCTATCGCTCCTCCTGTGTTCAGAACCCATGGATGAGAACCCCAAACAGCATGGCATAAAATAGCTGATCGAAATGGACTCAACTACTGCCCCAAGGGTGGAAAAATGTTATGACCGTCATGAGGTCCTACGTCCCCTACATGACCTCTGCATGACCCTGTAGGATATAGTCAGGCTCTTTGGCCATGACCCACAATCACCCGCCACCGGCCGCTGCAGCTCGGCGGCAGGTCGTGGTCCGGTAACGTCTGCGGGGAAATCCGCAACGACGAGCGGACCGCCTGGAGCGTCTGGGGAGCATCAATTGCACAGCATCCATGCACGGCATCCTGCAGGATAACACCTTTTTGGTCGGAGAAAAGCACCAAGAACCTCTGAACACCAGAGGCCTGATGGATCCGCTTTTGTAGAGCGAGTCCGCTCTACAAGCCTGAAACGGCCCAACATCTTCCACTTAGCATGGTGACTATGGTCCCATAGCTTGCAACACTTTGTCTTTTGTCGCTGCTCGATGTTTGGAGACGAAAGAAGCAGGGGGCCCCAAGACCCGAGAAACGCCCCACGCCTTTGTTGGGCGATGAGGTGAAGAGAAGACAACAGTGACGAAGCAGCAAGCAAACATCATACCCTCCATGGAGGAGAACAAAAACGCTTCCAACTTCTGAGGCCCGACATCACCTCCTAGAGTCGAAACCCTCACAGTGCCTGGTTCTTGCAAGCAGGCATGGCATCCTGCTTGCACCTCAAGGTTGCTACTGTATATATATATATACTATTCTCTATACCAACTGAATTTCCTGCAAGAGACCCTACCAACACCAGGTCATGTCATCGACTCCTGTTGCCGCCACAACCGGTGGCCGCCTGCTTCAGCTCCTTGACGTCTAAGGATCCGGACCTGGGCCAAGCGCTCCGGCCGAGCAGGGTGCACCCAGAGAGCTGTTCATTGCCTTCCGGTCCAAGATCAACTGCTATAAAGAAGCGGATTCCCACCCTAAACCCTAAACCCTATCCATTCAAGACAACCCGACCGCATGGACGCGGTTGGTGCCTGTCCACGTCGGCCGCGGCAAAGACCTTGTCCCAGGTCATTTCACGATGCGCCTGGCCACACGGTGTGACCGGCGTGACCGGACGGTCTTCCGTGACAGGTGTCGGTGGCTGGTTCAGTGTTCATGTGCGGGCCAGTGGGCTGTGTTCGATCCCCCAAAGTCGTACTTGGCGGGATCTGGAAGACCTTGTGTCCCAAAAGGATCGGGACTAGATTTATCACGGATTTCCTATTAATGTTCCCTCTCAGCGCCCAGCTGCCAACGTGTGAAAAAAAACGTCTGTTCAAGCAGTGTTGCCCCATATCGACCTTGCCCACCGGTTCTGGCGGGCGAAAGCCCAACCACTTCGCTGTTGCGTCGTCCATCTATGTTCATCTTCCAGCCCAGGTCTGTTGCATGAACCCCTCTGAGGTCTGCATGAAAGTTCACCCAAGGCTCCTCAATTCATGCTCCACTATGCAATGCTGAAATTAAATGATCTTTTCTGACGAAGGATGCATGTCGATCTCCTTTTCCACGTCGTTAAAGTGACTGCGCATGCCGTGAACCCCGATCGCGCGCGCACGCGTGATGCACGCAGGGCCTTGGCGGAGATGATCACCCTGCGCGCCCGTGCCAGTGCCTCGTTCGTGCGAAGATGGGGAGCTCTCGGTGGAAATGCTCTCGCAGAGTGGTTTTAGAGTGGTTGGCATAAACCCAAAGATGTTTTCTAGATGGGGGTTGATACAAACCACCTTTTGGGGATTGTGCCATCCACTCTCAACCCACTATAATCTGACTGGCTCAGAAAGGTTGTTGGATATGGATGCATAAACAAAGAAATCAAGTGTATCCAACAACTCTCTCAGCTCCATCGTGATCGTTGCTCGTAAGTGCCCCAAGCGATATCAAGCAACGAAACCATGGAGCCAAAGATAGCCAAAGCTTTTCCAGCACAGTACTGCCACAAGCATTCACAAACGAATGTTAGAGATGCAGCTCCGTTTGGACAATCTGCAAGTGACCTTTTAGCTAACCAAAGGCCTAAGAATTCAATGGCGTGATGCTTTGTCAACGTTTGTTTTTCACATGACAGTGCCTTCCAACAAGAGCCGTGTTCTACTTTGATCTTTGTCCAAAAAGTATACCGAAACTTCCATCTGCTTCTTCCCAGACTACCCCCCACACTAGCCAAGCATTGTCATGTGGGGCATGACAAACATGTGACATGAGCCTTAGCATCAGGCCAATAGCATTCAGGGCAGCATGAGAAAGTCCATCGACCAATTCTCTGTAGTGCTCAGCCCTGCCAACTGCCAGCTGCCAACAGGACCTAGGTCCTGCTCCCACATTCGTGTGGGGCTTTCTTCGTCACGTTGGCCCCCACCATCGCCCGGCCAGGACCCCGCCTCGTTGTTCGTGAGCTTTCGGCCCACGATGGGCTCGCGGTTTTGCAGGTTGATGCCTAACCTCAGGGCGGCGTCTCGTGGGTTTCCTTGTGGGTTCACCACGCAGCTGACGGTGCAGTCCAAGCTCCTGATGTAGGCTTAGACTGATGTAGACATGCAGCCAACCCCGCGTCTCTAGAATGGTTTTACATCTCCAGCAATCATGATGTTTGATTCATCAGCGGTCTACATTGGGAGTTCCAGCTGGTACGGCCAACTCAGCCAGTGGAACCGGAAGCGATATGAGCCTACCATCTGCACCACGAGTGCTGATTGACACCTACAACACCCGCTTATTGACTTGAAGACATATCTCTCTTTTGAGATGCACATATCAAACCCTGCGAGTCCAAGACTCTGCATCCCAACAAAAGCTTGAATACTTGATCCCAAGAGGGGTTTATCATGGTTTACCTCTACTTCGGTGCCGTCGCACGGGCTGCCGGGCTCCTCTTCGGGGTTCCGCCCCTGGTGCTTGAAGGGCGAAGTAAAGGGATCTCGCACCTCGCCAGGTTCCGTGCACGGAAGCGAGGTTGCGGCGGACAAGCCGAAAAGAAAGATGCAAAAAGGAGCCCCGTTCGTAGCTTCTTGTTCCTAATAGCGATGCCCTTTGCTCCTAGTAGCTTCTTGTTCCTAGTAGTAAGGCCAGGAGCGCCTAGTAGCATCCTTGTTCCTAGTAGTAAGGCCAGGAGCCCCTAGTAGCGTCCGCTCAAAGGATTTGGTAACATTTGGGAGGAATTCTCAGATAGGATCGGGCTCTGAAGAGAAACAGGTTGATCAAAACATGATCTTCAGACTGTACACCTCCTAAAACATGAACATGTTCCTTGAGCTTAGCAGGTGAAACAGCAGTCCAAGGAAGGGTGGTGGACACACGCCCGGGCAAAGCGCAGCTGGGGTTCGCTCAACTTAGACTTCGGAAGCGTGGAGGGGATGCTTTGGGGGGATTCCTATTGGGGGGAATACTCTGTCAGGGGATTCTCAGCCTGAAACAGGTGGGCAGGTGGCCAAGGGATGAGTGATGTCTGAGGCCCGTTTTGGTCTCCAACGGACCACATTCTCAGAAGGCAGTTAGACACTTAGACACCCCTGGCACCCAACCACTTGAGGATGAGGATGAGGCCCTATGAGGCGAAACTTGCTAACATCAAGATGTATTTGAGAATTCCTGAAATCCATTCACTCACCCCATTCGCAAGCCACGACCCAAAACCACTGGCGTAAAAATCACAACACAACGAACACAACTTGCCATGGTAGTTTGCAATGGGCAAACCAAACCAGTGGGGGTTAAATGATATACTTCACCCACCACGGTGAGCGCGCTCAGAGTGTGGCCCTTGCGGTTTCCACCGCATCGATCCGCCCCCTCTCTCGCGGCGCTTCTGACCACCCCAGCGGCGGCATCGCGGCTCACGCATTGCCGCTCTTCCCAGTTGGCGGTATCGGTGCCAAAGGTGTGCAACACTCGCGAGAACTCCTGCGCAGCCCGACAAGTGGCGGTCTTCAGGTGGCCAAGAGGGTCGGTCTTCCCATCTTCTCGTTGCTTTTGGGTAACATGAGTAACAAAAAGGATACACTTCTGCACATAAAAGTGGTCAAACAAATGCCATGTTCACTGCAAAGGTGTCATATGTTTGTCACACAAATCATCACGCATCTATGAAAATATATTCAATTCTCAGGATTAGATCCTATAATTAGAGATTCTACAGCCAGTTTTGGATAGTTTTAGGGTGAGTTTCAGGCTTTCTCATGCAATGGCCGCCGAACAACCAAAAAAACGCCGGCTGCCTGAGGCTCCCGAGGCAGGGCACTCTTGCGGGAAGTGATCGCACAAAGCACCTGCGACGACTTCTTGGCGTGCAGGACGGAGCCCACTCGTGGCGCGGACCGCGGACCGCTCGAAGCGCCACGCCGAAGGGATGCGTGTTTGGAGTACGATGGTCCATCGATGTCCCAGAAGAGATGGACAAAGAAAAAAATCACAGACTTCGCGACTTAGTGTTCACCACATGAGAGACCAACACTTCCCTCTGAATGTTTTCAGACTACGCGTTGGGGAAAAATGATTTGCATACCCATGCATACTCCAAAAACCTCTTTGTTGAGGGCATTCAGGTTCCTTGTGAAAGGACCCACTACAAATCCATGAGCACAAGATTCCTGGAGTCTTCAACAAAATCATGATCATGCCACATCTTAGTCTCGCAAAACAACGTAGAATCAGATACATCCGCTACTTCCAAGGGTCTCCTAAGAGACTACCCTGCACTGCTTGTGGGCTTCCGTTAGGCCCCCACTGGATAGCATTGAGTCATGATTTTTCTGAGGACCCCAATTAATCCCAAAGCTGTAATATTGCTATATTACTGCTTCAATGTTGCGAAACTCTACACAAAGCTATCGTGCGTTCATAGTGTCTTCCCTCAAGAAAGCAAGCATAACACTTCCCAGGACCAGCTTGCTGTTTTCATGTCCTCACCTTGCTCTTTCACCAACAATCTTCCCCTCAAAAAGAGCGACGCCCTGCCCCGGATGGGGCGGCGCCTCCGAGAGTTCCCTCCGTCGTCCTAATGAGGCGAACTTCGGTCGCCGCGGCATCCGGCCATCGCCGCGTGGCGAAACCGGGGTGCGGCGCTGGAGCAAGAGGACTGCGGAGAAACGACGTGTTTGTAGCAAAAAACTCTTTGGATCTCTTTGGGATGACGCTCCAGGGGACTGGAAAAGACCAAAATTCCATGTAAAAACATATGATGCCGATGCCGGTCTCACCTTGGTCGGATCATGGTTTCGCTGGGAAAGGCGATCCATGGAATTCAATCCAGGCCCTAAGGTGACCCGGTCGGCAGTGTTGCATTAAGAGGTAGGCTTGGGGAGTTCTTCATCGTAAAAATTGGATGCTTTGAGGTTCACTGACCCAGCAACATTCCTTCTTGGTTGATGACCACAGGACTCTACGATATTGCAAGAACTGACTTCTGAACTTGTGTTTTTTATATAAAGGGGGTGATACTATACAACAAAATGACCTCAAAATCCTCTCCAAGTGGTTTCCTCGCTCTAAGGAAACCTCACACTTTCCCTGCTTGTCTCCCCATCGCCCCCGTCGCGACGTCATGCGCGCGCGCGTCACAGGGGACGGCGATGTTTTGAGGATGGTATTGCTCCAGCCATTCGAGGCCACGGAGATACACCGCCTTAACCTCTTCAGGGCTCAGGGGCGCATACCTCGCCAGGGACTAGGCCAGGGGCGCATTGCGGGGCACTCACGGATGGAAGGCTCACTGATGGAAAAGAAAACAATTCTTCCAAGACTCTTAGAGAAGGGAAATCTAATTCTTTGTGCGTGTTTCTCTTTTTCTCCCTCTCTCTCTCTCTCACCTTTCAATCTAATTCACTGTCTCCATGAAAAGGGGCCTAGCTACACTTCCAAAGATCCCGATCCCCCAGCATTGGTTCCTAAAACCACTCGACTTTGTGCCACCCGACTGTAATTCATTTGAGCACTCCAGGGTGTGCACATCCGCATACTCGTGTCAAGGCTGCCTTAACATCTCCCCCTACAATAGACCTCTATAACCAGCACCTTTGAGTGACATCCCGCCAGCGCCAAGTCGCTCGCCGGGCTGTAGGTCCTCAGCCTCGGACGCGGGACGTCCCGCGGACGACATCGGCGCCGCATCGTCGTCGCGCAGAAGGACGTCGGGCTGCACGCCGGTGATGCTGCCCACGCGTGTGCGGAGGAGGCGTTCGCAGCGGTAGCCTGGTGGGTTCGATTGCTTTTTGGACGTGATGGGCGCAGCGGCTTAGAAATCCTCCGGACAGTTTGTAATTGGTGATCAATGATGTGATCCAAGCAACAAAGCAAAGTGAATGATGATGGTGGTTGGCATATGTTGGCCTAATGTTCTGTCTTTCAACTATACTAGGCTCAAATGAGATAGGAAACATTAGGCTCAGGATGTGATGTTTTACGATCATTCTACACATCTCATGTTCAACCTAGCACATATAGCAATAGCCGCCATCAACGGCCTTAAAGAGATGATGATATTGATACTGATATTGATATGACAAACCAGGCCCTAGGTCAATGCCCATGCTAGTAGCAGTGATGCACAGGGTTTCTGCCCTTGTGGGCCTTCGCTCGAAAGTGACCTGTCATGATCTGGATGAGGCCCTCTCCAGCATCTTGGAGGAGGTTACGTAGGAATATAATGTAGGACATTGTAGGAATAAATATCATACCCAAACACTCCATGCCATTATATATGTCTACGTTACATTGACCCCTCAAACCACCCCAACTGATCGGCATTATATGGCATACTTAATTACATGATGTAGTGTCTGGGATATGTCAACGTCCAAATGCTACGATTTCTGGGCCACCCCTGCCCCACCGTCAACATGCAACACATGCGCTTCAACTCGCTCCCGGAACTGGCTCGCTCGCTCCTAAAGCGGAGCACATCCGTCGCACCAGGTGGTACCGGCCGTTGGACACCACCAGCCGCAGCAGGGCGGAGCGCTCGTCAGCGTCACAGCGCAGTAGCTCGGCCGACAGGGCCACGGCCAAGTCCTTGCCATCGCCTCCAGGCTTTGGAAAAGACTAACCGTCCCCTATTCAAAACTATTCAATGATTGAGCACACAAATAAAACATGCGAGTTATACCAGCATAGACCCCAAACAGTTTCAAAACGATTCGCTTGGACCTATATTAGTCCAATAAAAATTCTTGGGACGCCCGACAAGAGAAGACAAGAGGAGGACAAGAGCCGGTCACAGAGCCCGGCCACAGAGTTCAGGGGCGCGGCCAGTCAGTGTGTCCTGGTCAGCGCGGCCAGAGGACAAGAGGAGGACAAGACCCGGCCACAGAGCCCGGACACAGCCAGCCAGTGTGACCAGCTCTTTTTTTCTAAGATGGAACCCCAACAGTAAACTGTTTGGGGAAAAAGGTATTTCTGTGACTTCGCAGTGTCTGCGGGAAATATACAAAGAGCAACGCTGAGAGTTTTAAGCCAAGAGGATGCCCAATCAAAGAACAAACCACCCACTGTTCCACGACTGACTTAAGATTAGGTGAGAACTCCCTAATCTGTGTTCCGTTGTCGACTCACATGTGTTCTCTTCAACGTCTGTTGCAGCTCTATCTGTCGACTCCCAACTCCCACTTGAACTCGTCGGGCCTAGGTCGATGCCCTCGCGCAAGCGGCTGAGTTCCTCATGGCCGGGGCACTTGAAGGAACACGACGCATCCAGCATGCGCAGCTTCACCACGTACTCCTGGAGACTTGTCAACATCGGTCAATTCTGGAGATGTGTTTCTGACACCAAGGCTGGTTGGTCGATGTGGTGGCCCAAAAACAGCCAAACGGTTCCAAAATATGTTCCAAACCATTCATGTATGGAAGAGTTACACAGTTTTTACACCTACCCTTTTTGCACCATTGATGACCCAAAAGGTTTCAGGTACAAGATGGTACAAGATGGTACAAGATGTGACTCTATTCCATATGAATGGATCCTCTGGAACCCTTTGATGTGTCCTCCAACCACCGGTGTACCCGGGTACACCCGTCCACGGAAGCGGTGGGAAAACGATGTTTTGTTCCTCAGCTAAGACTGTTTTTTTGTTGGATGGAGGGCCATGGGCGCTTAGCGTAAACCGTTTTTGGCTATATCCTACTCCCAAAAGAAGTAGTGAAACTAGTGGATGATGATGGCTAGATGCTAGGCCTTTCCTTCAAATGTGTCTTAAATAACCGACTGTTACAGGAAATACGTAAACCATTAAAAAAATGCCTGGACACCCTGTATACATCACTGAAACAAGCTCATTCAACGGGTTGCTTGGGAGAAGAAAGTTGATCTTCAATGGATGATATGTGTGTTTGTTAAAATTCGACCCCCTGGAAGAAGGAACATAAAGCACACATAAAGACCAAAACCCATTGAATTGGATCCCATTGGGCCACAGGGGTCTCTTTATGAAAAATACATACCCATATACCAACTTTATGAAGTCATGTAGGCAAATATTACATGCACGGATTGTGGAGGACATGTTTGCCAACGGTCTCGTCGCGCCTTCTCGATGTGCGTTTCGGGCATCAAGACTGAGCGGGTAAAGAAGCCATCAGAGGTAAAAAGCAATAGGCCTTCGCCTAGGGCGGCGAAGGTTTGTGTGATATATATATATATATATCCGCCGACCCCGGCTGAAGGAGGGGGAGCGCGCGAGGGATTACAGGTGCGGGAGCCTTGCGCTTCTTCGTCTCAGCACGAACCTGCAGGCAACAGACGCTTCCACTGCTCGATGCTGCTCGAACACATGCATCACTGGAGCCGCAACCTATTGCGCTTCTTCGTCGCAGCACGAACCTGCAGGCAACAGACGCTTCCACTGCTCCATGCTGCTCGAACACATGCATCAGTGGAACCGCAAGCTACAGCAACATACGAACCCCTCTGGCGGTGGCTCACAATGTCGCGGTCGTGCTCCCTGAGGCCCTCACCGAGCCGGAAGCAGGGGTGGGCACCGAAAGTGTGACCATGGGAGGCTCGGAGGCCGAGACAAATGGAAACAAACTTGTTTTTTTCTAGGGATTCAGAGGCAGCGTTTGGCACCCAAAGTGCGACCATGGGAGGCTCGTTTTGGACCAGAATTAGATTGGGAAAAGCTGTGGCGGGACCAGGTGTTCGGGGCGAAGATGACCGAGACAAATGGAAACAAACTTCTTTTTTTCTAGGGATTCAGAGGCAGCGTTTGGCACCCAAAGTGCGACCATGGGAGGCTCGTTTTGGATGTTCGGGGCGAAGATGACCGAGACAAATGGAAACAAACTTTTTTTGTCTAGGGATTCAGAGGCAGCGTTTGGCACCCAAAGTGCAACCATGGGAGGCTGGTTTTGGACCAGAATTAGATTGGGAAAAGCTGTGGCGGGACCAGGTGTCCGGGGCCAAGATGACCGAGACAAATAGAAACAAACTTGTTTTTTTCTAGGGATTCAGAGGCAGCGTTTGGCACCCAAAGTGCGACCGTGGGAGGCTCGTTTTGGATCAGAATTAGATTGGGAAAAGCTGTAGCGGGACCAGGTGTTCCCACGACCTCCACGACAACGATGGGGCTTCTGGGGTTTGGCCCTCCCCGAGTTGTGTGCTTTTGCAGTAGTGCGGCTACGAGCACATTGAGAAGCATAAACGCCAGGAGTACAAAGCAAGGCTCGATTGGGGATGACGATTTTGTCTGGACGTCCGGCACAGAACGCGCCATGTTTTTATGCTGCAACATTCCATGCCTGACAAGAACAAGCCTTGCCGTTGGGTGTGCGGTGTTGGACTTGAATTCGTCCATTGGGCTTGGCTGACAAGACGCGCGCACCACATCGTGGACAAGTGTGCTCGTGTTGGCGACCAGCAACTGCGCCGTCCAAGACACGAAATTTGTGGCCGCACTTTCCTCGATGGTGGACTCGGCCAGTTTGGACCCCACTGCGGCATGGACATTTGCAGCGTGGGCAGACGTAGTCATACAGCCTTGTCGGCTCCCCTCTGACCTGATTCCCTGGCTTCGCCTCGGGCACCTCCGGATTGAATGCGTGGCCATGCGTTGGCGCGTGGGGCTGCGCGCTTGACGTGGTTTGTTTTCCATGTTTGGATTCTGGTTTCGGGTGAGTCTCTGTCGTGGCTTGGCGTTTTGCTTGACGACGACTGTGCGGGACTGTGCTCGGCAGTGGCTCGATGGACGATGCGTGTGGTGCCACGACACTTGTGCTTTGTTTGGGGCGCTTTGCGGCGTTGGCTTCCTGTGCGCCGGAGTCCGTCGGAGCCAGACGTTTGCGTTCGTGGACGTGACTGGCGATGAGGTCTTTGATTTCTTGCAGGATGTGTTCTCGGTGGATTCGTTGGCGCAGCGACGCTAGACGCGCGTGGATCTTGGCGGCGACGCGTTTGCGTTGGACGGTCTGGATGCGTGTAGTGTGACACGCATCGCACACTTGTTTCCCGTTTTCTCCGGAAGAGCGTCGGCGGAGAAAGATGGTGTACTGGTCTCGTTGTTTTCGTTGTCGACAGCGCGCACAAGTCCAAACGCCGCGGGTTTTACGTTGGCAAGTGAGGCACTTTCGCCGGTTCCCCTGTCTTAGTCGCCAGGCAGCAGCGCTGAAAAACTCTACGGTTAGAGTTTTCTGGCACACGAAGCATTGCTTTTTGGCTTCACAGGAGAGACAGACGCGGCACGACCCCCAGCGTGGACTCAGCTGCTTCGAAAGAAAGTGGGTGGCGGCATGCCAGACACCACACTTAGATGAGCCAGGTGTTTGCTAAGTAGTTACAGAGGTTATGTTAGTTAGCATAGAGGTTACTATCCTCGCTAAAGGTTTGCTAAGTGGGTTAGCAAACCACTTAACATGGGCACAAGTTAAGTGGCTGGCTAAGTGGTTAGCTAAGTGGTTAGCCTCAAAGATGGCTAAGTGCTAAGTGGTTAGCTAAGTGGTTAGCTGTCCCAGATCTTATTTTAAAAAAGCTATGTTGTATGAATATTTTTCATGCACCATTGCTCTTGTAGGCTGCACTGCTACAAAAGCTTCCTTGGTTTATTTTACAAATCAAAAAGCAAATCACTGCTTCCAATCAGCACAAAGACTTGATGCTCTTTTCTGTCAGGCACTTTATTGCTGATTTTTTTTAAATGTCTGTATGTGTTTTGAAAAGCTTGCTCCAGAGGTCAACAGCAAGGTCAAGACATTCTTCCTTAAAACAATTCTTCGCAGGCTTGAAACAAAACACTGATGTTTCTTGCCAGGACTTTGGCATGAATTAGCAAGTGACCTTGCAAGCAACCCACAGTCACATATGGCTGGCTTGAATGGTGAACTCACTTATATGCCATATATCTCTGGGCAAACCAAGGGTTGCTATGAACCTGCACCCAATTCCACACAGCATGCCAGCAAACCACCAATGAAAGTTTGCACCCCAGACTCCAACAGCAAGTTGCAAGCCACTGCTTGGAACCACAAAAGGC